TCAGTGACTGCTGTTGTGGGACAGGAAGCCCCCAGAGGAGCATGGCTGACAGTGGCTGGGTAAATTGCCAGCATGCCAGGCCATGACCCAAAGAAGCACCAGCAGCAGCAGCAGCAGCTTCCGCAGTGCCTTCCTAGAGCTGCTGGCTCTGGAAAGCCCTGGCAGCTCTGGGACTCAAGTGCAGAGCCTTTCCCTTTCAGGTGCAACCTGTGGGCGAGCTGCAGCCTGAGAGGTAAGAGCCCTCTCCCGCCCCACAGCTCATTTGGTGGGGTGGTGGGAGCCAGCCCCATGCTGTTTGCACTCCCGTGTTTAGGGGCCAGGGCTTGTGCCTTTCCCTCTGTCTTGGCCTTTTGCTAAAGCTCAAGCTGAAGGGAAGCAGGGATAGTAAAGGGGGCTTGAGCACCTCTGTCTCTGCTCGTCTGTGAGCTTAGAGGCCCTGGGAGAGGCCGAGCAGCTCTCGTGACAAGATCTGGCAGGGGGGTTGGAGGAGATGATCTCCAAAGGTCCCTTTCCAAGGGACCCTTCCATGCCTAAACCATGACACCTGTGCAATGGGGTGTACGTGTGCCTGGGAACCGGGGCAGTGGTTTTACTTTTCAGCTAAGCCTCTTCTGACTTACTGGACTTTCTGAAATTAAGGGCATGTTGTCCGGATACCGTTTCCAGAGACTAGTAAAACATGTTTTTTTCTAATTTATGCCAAGGAATGTTATGCAGAGAGGCTCTTGCTTACACTTATTGCTGTAACAACCAAGGTCAACTCACTTTCAGGTTTGCCCCACTGGAGGGTTGGAAGCCGAAAATATAGAGGGGTCACACCTGTGGGGACGGGTGGGGTGGAGTATCTGTCATTCATCTCAGAGACCAGTCCTGCCCAAACCACAACAAATGGGTACATATGTGTGGGGTTTGAACAAATGGTTTCGGTGAATTACTCAGCATAAGATAGAACAGTTACTTGGACTGGGACAGGTCAACAGGATGCCAAGAAACAGTGTGCTGACAGGGGGAAGTAGCATGGCTAAGTTAGATCTTAACTTCTTCATGCAGACTAATAGTGATTGTGAATGAAATTGTAGCATATGCGCTAAATTATCGGTGCTTTTATCATTTGCAACTGAATAAGGAATTAGTCTTTATAGCACATTCTGTAGTTGAAGAACAATATACATTTCTTAGCCTTATCCATCGATGTGGAGTGGTTCCAGCTGTACTATTAAACCTGTACAACCCCATTCTGACCAGCGTATGGGCACTTTTGGCTGCTCCAGCCTTTGTCTCCATCATGGCACGAGGCTTGCACCTGGTCAGGCACATGATCTTAGAAAAAAGCAAAGAATCCAATCTTGCCTGTATTTGAAGTATTTGCTTAGAAGTAGTAGTAACAAAAAATAATTTAGATATGTAAAAGAGAGGACTGGCAAGTTATACCTGTATGGAAAATATGTATGGAAAGCATAATGGAGAAGACCTATTTTCTTTTAATATGGGCAGTGTCAATCTAGCTGGGGAGGAAAGTTATCTGGTGCAGTGACAAACTGAACCTATTCGAACTCCTTTGTGGCATGTTTACTTGTTTAAATCAGTTTGTTTTGAATGAGTTAAAGGAGAAAAGAAACTGATACCTAGAGGACATGAAATGTTGAGAGGAACTGGGTATTTTAATCAGAGAAAGCTGGTGTAAGGTTCTATGAAGTGATTTAACATGGGGTAGTTAATGCTTCCTTGCACTGCTCCATTTGCCAGCATATATTTAGGCCTACCACTTGCCTTGGTGGCTGAGATGTCATAAGGGACAGCGAATATTCATTTCATTCCTGTATTGCATTATGAAATACAATGTAAAACTTCCATTAGGGAAGCAATTTGTGTCATTTTAAGGGTGTTAGACATAAAATTGTGCATGTGTTTAGCTCTAGTCTTACACTGCTGTAATGAATACATATATAGCTAGATTACCTTTTAAGGGCATATCTTTTTTGCATGGAATCGAAGATCAGATAATAATCTTTCTAGAATAATGATCTTTTGGGTCTACTTGAAAATACAGCTGTGCTTTGTAAACTTACTTCCTCTTTTCATTCTAGGTTAGAGTGGTCTGTGCTTCAGCCACAGGCAGAGAAATAAACAGCAATCTGTGCTGCAGCTTCATATCACTCAGTTACCTCTTTCAGTCATTACTTTTAATGAACTGTTTGTTTCTGAATTAAGCAATAAAGATAGTTGATTAGGGGAGGCTGTGTCCCAAATCACGCAATGTTACTGTTAATGCTTTGCTCAGTGAAATAATCAATAAACTGGCTGAGGAAGAACAATTTGTTATTATTAAAAAAAAAACCCCAAAACAACCCACAAACCAACAAACCAAAAACCAAACAAAAAAAACCCCAACCACCCCCTCCCTCACTGTCCAACCTGATGGACTAAGTCAAGTGTAACTGTTCAGTGAGCAGGAGTGGACAACTGATCTGTTCACGCAGATACGACAATAAAACACCTGTCACGGCTCTGTCTCTGTAAGAAATCTGGAAGGGACCATCTTCTGTTTTCACCCTCTCTAATGTTTGAGACATCCAGGATGGCATCTCCAGCTCTTCATGGAGAGGGAGCCATGTAACAAACTATTTTGCAAGAGGAAAGAAAAACTTCTGTGTGTCTGGGAGGTACAATGAGCGTGAAGAAGTTTACCTGTTTAAATCAGTAGAAGGATAAGCTCATATATAATGATTACAGTTTGGAAAAAAATGTTTGTGTATAATTTATGGAAATAGCTGTAGCAGTATTTAATATTTTTCTTGAACTAAATGGATTTTTAAGTTGATTTCATGATGATTGTAATATGTTATGTGTTTACCTTCTACAGCTGTAATTTTGCAAAAGTGGTACATCTCCACGGCCATTTTTTCCAAAGTAATAAACATTCCCACTAAGTAAAAAGACCTGGTCCCATGTTGTGCATTTTATATACCACTCTGTTCTTACTCTTTTTGTTTTAGATAGGTGATAAGGGATTCAGAAAACCCCAAAACAACCCACAAACCAACAAACCAAAAACCAAACAAAAAAAACCCCAACCACCCCCTCCCTCACTGTCCAACCTGATGGACTAAGTCAAGTGTAACTGTTCAGTGAGCAGGAGTGGACAACTGATCTGTTCACGCAGATACGACAATAAAACACCTGTCACGGCTCTGTCTCTGTAAGAAATCTGGAAGGGACCATCTTCTGTTTTCACCCTCTCTAATGTTTGAGACATCCAGGATGGCATCTCCAGCTCTTCATGGAGAGGGAGCCATGTAACAAACTATTTTGCAAGAGGAAAGAAAAACTTCTGTGTGTCTGGGAGGTACAATGAGCGTGAAGAAGTTTACCTGTTTAAATCAGTAGAAGGATAAGCTCATATATAATGATTACAGTTTGGAAAAAAATGTTTGTGTATAATTTATGGAAATAGCTGTAGCAGTATTTAATATTTTTCTTGAACTAAATGGATTTTTAAGTTGATTTCATGATGATTGTAATATGTTATGTGTTTACCTTCTACAGCTGTAATTTTGCAAAAGTGGTACATCTCCACGGCCATTTTTTCCAAAGTAATAAACATTCCCACTAAGTAAAAAGACCTGGTCCCATGTTGTGCATTTTATATACCACTCTGTTCTTACTCTTTTTGTTTTAGACTGTCATAGGTGATAAGGGATTCATTTTTGCTTCACACTGCCAGTACGTCCTCTCCAAGGTGGCTTAAGCAATGTCAGGGCATCCAAGGGGTTTGCTCATGTGAATAATTCTGCTCAGCTTGATTTATGGCTTTCTAAAGCCTCCCAAATACCTGTGTTCTGAACACAAAATAGTATCATAAATCTGTGCAGAGTGACTACCAGACTGGGAATGAAGCCGACCACAAAGCAATGGGTGCAACAACAGAACAAAAATACAGAGCCAGGTGCAGACTGAAAAAAGCAGTTTATCTGACCTAAGACATAATCACCTGCAGAGAATTGCCTTTGCAATGACATATGTTGGCACAGGAGGCTGGGGAGACAGCAAAACGATAGATCAAGACTAGCTTTTATCAAAATAAAATCAAATGCAGGAGCCAGACTTCCCAGTATACTGTGATAGTCCTAAGCTCCTCTATTACACAGCTAGGGAAAGCAAGTATTTTTTGTCTTCTCTATTCATTCTCTTCCCATCTAACATCAGAATTCAGTCCTGTGCTCTACTGGCATTGATAATAGTTGCTCAGTTAGTAATTTTGTCCAAGTATCCAACCTGTTCCCATTTAAGTATTTGTATTCACACAGCACTTACAGTGTCTAATTGAGATCAAGGCCTTGTTTAATTAGCAGTGTGTATGCATTAAAATGCACATAGGTGTATAAATGCATATACACTTTTTTTAATACATATATATATGCACATGCACATCTGTCCTTTGAGTCTAAATGGTCAAGAGAAATAAAGGTGAGGACAAAGAAAATATTTTCCCTGAATGAAAATAGGTAAAAAAAGCTTAACTGCATTGTGGAATTATAAACCATGCTGAAGGATGACAGGAGTATTCAGCAGGTCCTGGCCCATCACAGCGTTATTTTATTTCAACGTGTTCTTCCACTGATAAAATATTAAGAAACTAAGGATATTTCTGAACCAACTTCTTTTAAATTCTCATGATACTTCCTGTAGAATTTTTGAGGTAGAGATAATCTAAGATAGATAATCTAAGATATACATAACATTCTAATATCCAGCTGAAATAAAAAAAAAGGTTGCCAAAAAAAAGACAATGAAGTCATAAAGCAGAAAATGAAAGTGGTGTCAAAAGCATACACAAGGGGGAAAACCTTAAAAACCAAAAAATGATGAAAGAAAACTTCTCCTACAGAATAATTAAATTTGAAGATTTTGAAGAAACAGGAGACCACGAATGATCTTCAAGCACCCCAGCCTGTCTCTCAGAGTTCGTACGCAGTGAAGGAGGAACGTGAGAGCTTATCATGAATGATTTTGGCTTGATACTAATCAGCCTCATATTGTGCACCACCACTATCTCCAGTCTTCAGTGTAATCATCTTCCTTTACAGCAAAGAAAAGTGATTGAGAACAGCTTGCAACTTTTGGACAAAATGGGCAAAAAGTTTCCTCAGCAATGTCTAAGAGAGAAAATGTCCTTCCGATTTCCTGAGCAGGTTCTAAAGCTGGGACAGAGAGAAGCTGTCAAAATGGCCATTGAAGAAATCTTCCATCATATCTTCTATATCTTTAGCAAAAATCTGACTCTAGCTGCTTGGGATGGGACAGCTCTAGAACAATTCCAAAATGGACTTTATCAGCAAATTGAGCAGTTGGAGACATGTGTAATCAAGAAGCAAACCCACTATTTCCAGAATAAAGAAGTCAACAGGCTGAAACTGAAAAAGTACTTCCAAAAAATAGACTGTTTTCTTAAAGACAAACGACACAACCTGTGCTCCTGGGAGATCAGCCGTGCAGAAATGAGGAGATGTCTTCAGTTGATAGATAAGGTCGTAAGGAGGCTTAACAACTAAGGTACAAAGATTTTGACCTGACATAACTTAGCTTTAAAAGTAATTATTACTCATTCTATGATCTGTCTTGTAGCTGTGCTTCTAGTTAATTTTGATCATATTTAAATAATTACATTGCTGAAGTTTATTTTTGCAAATGTAATGCATTACTCGATGTAAGTAAGTTTTTCTCTTGATAAGCAAAGTGTCTACAGTAGCTATAAATTAACCTATATGACTTTTCAGTGAGGGTTATTCCATTGGAAGGGATTGTAGTCTTTTATGATAAATAGTGGCATCCTATGGTGTTTTCTGCTGAGAAAATGTGCTGATACTTTCCATCTCTATTTCACCTTCATATAGAGAATCATATATTTGAATGGACTCCACATCCTTCACCTTACAGGAATTACTAGATTTGTACTGATTGAGTCTGCATCAAAAATAAAGTACATACGTTTATTTTAGTGGTCCTGTCTTAGGCTGAGACCATTCATTATTCTTTCAAAGCCTTGTATGCTTTTATCCAGGAGTGTATTTTCTTTTTACATTTGAGTCATTCTAACATTTGCTTTGTTGAAAGACGTAAAGCAACTCTAGAAGGATTTATCTACATAGGATATTGTTTGCAGTAGCTATGGCTTCTCCAATAACTTCTCAGTTGGACATTGTTACTTTTAATTGAAATGTCTTTGCCTCCTCTAACTATCTGAGGGAAAGGCGCTTTTTTTTTTCCTTCCTGAGGTATTTAACTTTTTTCATAAGCTTATTTGAAATAACTTCTCTACATAAGAGTGCCCTAAAGCCACATCCGCCAGTGGCACATCCTGCTTATTCAGGGACGAATTCATCCTGGCTACCTCAATCTCAAACTTCACCATTCAGTGCTGTGTTTTATTGCTGCATGAAATTTTCTGCCGCTTTCCCTTTGCTCACAAATCGACCCACAGAAACATATAGCCCAGGGTATTCCAATAATTTCCCCTCCAAATCACACAGCCTTGAGTAATAATTGCAATATAATAAAGTTCTTTAAAACTACTTGCAATGGACTGGGCAAAAATCCACTAATGGCTTTGAGATCAAGCCCAGAGTTTCCCTTGGGAAATTGTCCCTGGGTAACTCCATTTCAAATGGCTGTGTTTTCCCTAGTCGCTTGCTGTATGTTAGTAAGGGGGAAAACAGAGTTATATCCAGGCTCTAATTAATACTGGTAAAAATTTGGTAAAATAAACATCAATTTCCAAAAAAAAAAAGCTATTTTCTCTTGCCAAGGCTGATACACATTTGGCACAGGCTTCTGGGTCTGGCATAAAGAAGCAAAGGAGAGAGAGCATGTTTGTGGCTCCCAAGAAAGGGTGATGTTAGTCCCAGAGAGCTGAAATTGCTAGAGGTTGGTTTAAGCATCAGCTGAGGAGCCTCTTTCAAGCTTTCCCTGATCTCCGGCCATTCAGAAGAGTATCATTCAAAGGGGTGATAATAAAAAGGAATGTCTGAACAAAAAATTGCCCGGTAAGAACAATAGCAATGGTACACCAGATCTCAAGTACCGTATGTATGACCCGGGTCTCTTTTGCAGGGTGTAGATACCGTCCTCTCTGCCACTTACGGATGCAAGCTAAAGAAGTGACGAGAGACACAGCAGTAGCAGGTCTGAAAAACCAGGTAACAGCTTCACCTTGATCCAGAACCACAGAAAAGACCAAAGAAACAGAGCGAAGTATCAGCGCCATTTTTCTGCCTGCCATAGATGTTACAGCAAAATACAAACACAAGACATGTACACAAAAAAGTGTATTTGTTGGTCTTTTTAACTAACAGCACTTGAAATGCCTTGCGAGACTGTTTCAAATCTAATTTCTGCTGCTTGTTGGGTTTTTGCACTTCTTCAAGCCTGTATAATAAAAGGACAATCAGCCTACTTCCCTTTCTGGTTCTGTTATCCTGGGTGGCTTCTGCAATGCAATAAACTGCTATTGAAATGACCCCATTTTTTACTGAAACTTGGAAACAGCATGAACTATTTTCAGCTGCTTGCTCATGAAGGATCCCAGTTTTTATTGCCTCACTTGCCTGCAGTGGGAATATGTTAATTGTTGTTAATTCATGACCCACTGATTGTTCAGAAATTCTCATAGCATTAACCTTTCCTTTTAGTTCGTAACTGCCCTTAAAAATCTCGCTGCCAAATAAAAATATGTTTTGACAGATTTCAGCCAACAGGGTACTTTGCAGTGCAGAAAAAAAACCCAGAATGGGCACTAGAGGGCAAAGTGAGATTATAGACAAGTGTAAAAATTGTAGGTGAATGTACATGTGTTTTGGCAAGACAGCGTTTCAGCTCTTTATGAGCGTGCTGCTTATCAATAAACTGCTATTGGGGTCGCGGAAGGGAATGGAAAGAAAAATGAACTATTCCTGAAAGAAAAAAGGATGTCTCAGAGATGATGGACAGGAGCTCATAAACCAGCATTTGATTTCAATTACTTTTTGGCCAGCTGTGAGGTAAAAGAAAATATTTGTACTGAGACAATGTCTAGAAGACCCATTTAAAGATGGAAACCCTGGTACAGACATAGCTGCTGAACAAATAAAAAGAAAATAGCAAACCAATATATCTTTCCTTTCTGCTTACTTTTTACAGAAAGGTAAAGAGTCTCTAAGGTAAAGGACGAAAGCTGGACAGTCAGAATATTCTCTCTCTTCTCCTTGCCATTGTAACATTTTGGAGCAATCTATATTTTATCACTATTGTGTTAAGAGGTCAGGTGTATCATAGAAGAAGCTGTATATTATGCCCCTGGCTGACTGAAACCCTCTGATATCTCTTCCAGTTCGTGTTTTTCTAGAAGTTAACAAAGCATAGAAAAATACAGTTTTTAACATAGGACAACAAGAAAAACTTCTAGAAGTATATCGGAGAGAAAGGCAGGACTAGGGAAGATGTGGGCCCTCTCCTGAAGGAAACAGGAGACCTGGTCACACAGGATATGGAGAAGGCTGAGGCACCGAATAATTTCTTCACCTCAGTCTTTACTGGCAAGGGCTCTAACCAGACCACCCAAGTCACAGAAGGCAAAAAGAGGGACTGTGAGAATGAAGGCTGTGAGGCCACTGTAGGAGAAGACCAGGTTCAAGACCATCTAAGGAACCTGAAGGTGCACAAGTCTGTAGGACGTGATGAAATCCATCCAGAGGTCCTGAGGGAGCTGGCAGATGAAGTTGCCAACCCACTGTCTGTTGTATGTGAGAAGTCAGGGCAGTCTGGTGAAGTTCCTGCTGGCTGGAAAGGGGTAAACATAATGGCCATTTTCAAAAAGGGAAAAAAGGAAGCGCCAGGGAACTACAGGCCAGTCAGTCTCACCTCTGTGCCCAGCAAGTTAATGGAGCAGATCCTCCTGGAATCTCTGCTAAGGCACATGGAAAATAAGGAGGTGATTGGTGACAGCCAGCATGGCTTTACTAAGGGCAAGTCATGCCTGACAAATTTGGTGGCCGCCTACGAACACGCTACAGCACTGGTAGATAAGGGGAGAGCAACAGACGTCATCTACCTGGACTTCTGCGAAGTGTTTGACACTGTCCCATATGACATCCTGGTCTCTAAATTGGAAAGGCATAGGTTTGATGGATGGACCACTCGGTAGATTGGGAACTGTCTGGATGGCCACACTCAAAGGATTGCGGTCAATGGCTCAGTGTCCAAATGGAATCCAGTGACAAGTGGTCCTCAGGGGTCAGTATTGGGACCAGTGCTGTTCAACATCTTTGTTGCAGAGATGGACAGGGGGATTGAATGCACCCTCAGCAAGTTCACCAATGACACCAAGCTGTGTGGTGCAGCCAACATGCTGGACGGAAGGGATGCCATCCAGAGGGACCTGGACAGGCTTGAGAGATGGGCCTATGCCAACCTTATGAAGTTTAACAAGGCCAAGTGCAAGGTCCTGCACCTGGTCATGGCAACCCCAGGCACAAATACAGGCTGTGCAGAGAATGGATTGAGAGCAGCCCTGAGGAGAACGACTTGGGGGTGTTGGTGTATGAGAAGCTCAACATGAACAAGCAATGCATGCTGGCAGCCCAGAAAGCAAACCGTATCCTGGGCTGCATCAAAAGAAGTGTGGCCAGCAGGTCAAGAGAGGTGATTCTGCCCCTGTGCTCCACTCTGGTGAGACCCCACCTGGAGTTCTGCATCCAACTCTGGAGCCCTCAGCAGAGGAAGGATGTGGACCTACTGGAGTGGGTCCAGAGGGCTGGAGCACCTCTCCTGTGAGGACAGGCTGCGAGTTGGGGTTGTTCAGTCTGGAAAAGAGAAGGCTCCAGGGAGACCTTATAGCGGCCTTCCAGTAACTCAAGGGGGGCTACAGGAGAGATGGGGAGGGACTCTTTATCAGGGAGTGGAGCCATAGGACGAGGGGTGATGGTTTTAAATTGAAAGAGGGGAGATTTAGATTAGATATTAGGAAAAAATTATTTACTGTGAAGGTGGCGAGGCACTGGAACAGGTTGCCTACCGAAGCTGTGGATGCCCCATCCCTGAAGTGCTCAAGACGAGGCTGGATGGGGCTTTGAGCAACCTGCTCTATTGGGAGGTGTCCGTGCCCAGGGAAGGGGGGTTGGAGCTCGATAAACTTGATGGTCCCTTGCAACCCAAACCATTCTAGAATTTTGTGATTCTATGAGTATTTTCAAATTAAAATTAATAAAATAGTGAATATGAAATCTCAAATTCCCATCAAAAATTTAACATAGATGAAACAAAATGCTTCCAAGATGGGACTACTTGTAGGCCAAAAAGTTTCATAGATTTTCTCATAGGAGTCACACACCAGTGCTGTGCAGCACAGGCTCCAGCCACTGTTGTGGCTGTTCTCATGGCTATTCTTGCAGCACCTTTTTTAGATGTGCTGTGCTGCACTTTTGTGGAAACTGCACTAAAAATGGTAGGGTTTCATCTATGCAGAGTCTGTTTTCTGGAGTGGATTTATGGCATTGGAGTCAAACGCTTTGTATCACAC